TTCAGGCAGTTCAGTGTTCGGGTAGTTTCGGTGTTTGGGCAGTGATGGTATTTGTGTTCTAGGTTGCAAGTAAGGACGAAGTAGCTGGTTGATTGGGAAGTGACAAGTCACTCACAATGGGATTAGTTGAGCCTTAGCCAAGTATAAATGACCTACAAGGATAATTGGGTCTGTAATTTCAGTGTTTTGGGTTGGAACTACAGGTTATCAGAAGTTGAGTAGTCAATTGAGGGATAAACAGACTAGGTTCAACGATAATGATTCAGTATGAGTGGTCTGTCAGGGATTTAGACCATCTCGAGACAGCAGATTTCGGACCGAGTAGATGTTATCTTGTGGCGAGGAATTCGTTCACCTGCGGATTTTAGGGATTTACGAAGATTGGTCACGGCTACCCTGAGAAGGCTGGGGTGTACCTAGGAATGCGACCATGTTAATTGGGTGGTTAGGCATGTAAGAAATGGTAAGGAATGATTTCGAGGAAAAAATCTAATTTAAGTGGGGGAGAGTTGTAACATCCCGTTTATTTAATAAATAAATAAAAAATTAATGAATGAATTGTAGCCCTAAAATCAATAATTATATCACAAGGTGTTGGTCTCGAGGAGCTAATTATCACAATCTTAGAGATTGTGGGTTAAAGTGTAAGTTCCGGATTAGTTTTGTAAGTATTTACGAAGGCAGAGACTAAATGGTAACTTCTAGGACTTCATTTGAAGAGAATTTGGAGGCTAACAGGCTGTTTGGTAGGGATCGAAATTGAGAGGAATTATGGAAGCAAGGGTGAAATTGGTAAATTTTATACCAAATTTGTAATGGATTTTTTATGTTGGGGTTTAAAGGGTAAATATGGGATTTATTTTGAAAAGAATCCTAAGGGGAGGGACCAAACTTGTAAAATGGGTGAATGTTTGATTTGAAGTGTGACTTAAACCCGACATCTCCTTCATTCCCGTTCAAAAGCCATCACTACCAAAACCTTAACCCTAGAAACTAAGTTATAGCTGCCATCTCTCCATCTTATGCCTCCCTCTTCGTTTTTCGGCGCCGCATCACCACCTCTGTTGAGGTTGTCAACTATCAGACTTCCTCTCATCCTCCGACCTGTCGAAGCTCCACTCAACTGCCATCTTGAGTCGAAGTCCCATCCGTCACACGAGCCTCTCAACCGCTACCTCTACTCTCTGCTCGTTTTCCGATCAGACGACGCCGCCAAACAGCCACTTCATCGTCGAAATGCAACCTTGCTACCTGAGATGTGTGTGCAACCGGAGAAACCGTTGAGACTGGGGTGTAAACTCGGTTCGTCATGTGCGGGTCATGAACCACCAAAAATTCTGGTAAGTCAACAACAACTCGTCCTTATCTTATCTCTCTTGTTGTTTACAGTGGATACGATGTTGGAGACACCCCTGTCGTCGTCGGTGGTCGTGGGACCGCTTTTTTGCTTTTTCCGGTGACACCCGTTGCCTAGGCTTAGGCTGTGGGGGTGTGTATTTGAGCATTCATGTTGCTGTTGACATTTGTGGTTGGGCATATGTGTTATTTGGCTGGTAATACCCGAGGAAAAACCACCATGGTTGCTAAATATGGAGGCTGCCACCGTGTCACCTCTCTCTACTACCACCAGCCACCATGCGGAGGTGGCTGTGTGCGTCAATGGTTGTATGTATGACTTTATCTTGTAAGGATAATGCTATGTAGATCTTTGCTTGCCAGGAACCAAAAGGAAACTCGTCCGTGCCGCCTGCTGCCGCCGTATCGTCGCCTTCTGCCGCTGTATCGCCGCCTGCTGCAGCCATTCACCACCACCGGCCGCCACTAGGGTGTTGTGTATATGTGTTTGTATTAGTGTGAGTGTGTATGATTATTTGGGGTTTTAGCATTGTAAAATGTAACAAAAAGAAGAATAATGAAAAGCAAGCTAAAAACCACCACCACAGGGTGGTGGCTGCCGCCACCAGCCACCGTGTCGGGTGGCGGTGTGCTTAGTTGTGTTGGGATTTCTTTTTGGATGTTTGGACAAAGAACTAAAACGCTAATGGGCCTATTAAACCCTAATGGGCCCAATGAAGCCCTGATGGACCGAAAATCCCTAACATGTGACTAATCTGTGTAATAAAACCTAATTGACCTAAGGAAAACTCTAATGGGCATAAGGAGTTGGTTTTGCGCCTATTGGGCTAAGATGGGATTGAAAACCCTAATATTGAATTTATGGGCTTGGACTTATCGGGACCCACATTTAGGCCATTGTATGGATGTGTGTAGTAAGACCAATCACAACATATGACTTATTTAGAAGAATGATGGATTTAATGGATTAAGTTCTTAATGAGTTAAGTGAGAAACACATTACCCTAATTGTCATTTTATGTGAAACCCTAGTTTCATTTGGGTTTATTGTTGGGCCTTGATGGTTGGGTTATTGGTGGGCCATCCAAGAATATTCATATGGATTGGAGTATGTTGATGGGTTTAGGGTAAGGCCCATATGAGGACTTAGGCCCAATTTGGAAAATTAGGCCATAGGTAGGCCATAGTTTAGGCCTTAATGATTATGTGATATTGGGCCATTAGAATGTCAATTGTTCGATTGGAATAAATGTTTGGGCCTTAGAGTGAGACCATGCAAAGGTTTGGGCCTAATTTGGAAAATTGGGCCATATGTTGGCCTTCGACTCATAGTTGATTGTTGGACCTTTGGATTGGGCCTTTGGCATGGATCAATCTAATGGCCTTGTGTTTGACATCATGATTATGATATCATATTATGTGTTAGTAGTAGGGGTGAAATAGTCCTCGTGTTCGGTTGAGATAGACCAGAGGGTAGGTCGGCACCCCATAATGGCCTTACATGAGTAGGTCAGCACCCCATAATAGCTTGACATAGGTAGGTCAGTACTCTAGAATGGCTTGACACGGGTAGGTCAACATCCTAGAATGGCTTGACATTGGTAGGACGGGTGCCCTAGAATTGTCCGACATTATGTACGCTATGTGATTGTATGGTATTATGATGGAGGAACTCACTAAGCTTTTTGCTTACAGTTTTCAGTTTTGGTTTCAAGAACTTCGTTTTCGAAGGAAAGGAGTCAGCTTGATCGCAGCGCATCACACTATGGTTTTCCGCACACGAGATCTTTGGGATTACACTCTGATATTGTTTTATGATAATTTGATTAATTCTACTTTGGTTTTGACATGACATGATATTATGGATGTTTTCTTATACTGTTGGTTTTATAATAACGTATTTAAAAATGAAATTTTTAGCCAGTATTTTTTGGATGTTACACTAGGCTTTCCAAGTTCTACAACTACAAGGATTGGTGTAATTTGTTTACAATAACAAATCAAAATGCATGTAACTCTATACTTTGTAATTTTCGAATTACACTAGGATTATACTAGGCTTAGTTGTTCATTGTATGTTGCTATCAAAGTGTATGACATAGATCTTTTATAGGATGCATATACCCTATTAATTGTTAATTGTTTTCTGCATTGTACAATTTTGTTTTCTATAAAACCCATTAGTTTTATAAGTGGGTAGTGTCATGTTAAGATACCATCTTATAGTGTATTTAACTAAGTTTAGGTATAATGCATTTAACTATGTCTAAGTATAGTTAGCTAAAAGTAATGTATTACCTTTTGAGACCTAATTTCCGCAACTTAAATATTTAGAAATTTCAAATTTGACAATTGGAATGGTTATAAAAATAACGCGAGCAAGCAGAGTTACACAAGGCCAATACCTAACCTTGTGGTTGGCTTTTGTTGTATTGTCCTTCATGGAGCTTTATGTGTGCGTAGTTTCATGTTAAGATACCATCATATAGTATATTTAACTATGTTTAGGTATCACTAATATTATAAGAACCTTATGAAGTGGTGAGTAAGGATGATTTATACTGTAAGCTAAAGCGAGCAAGTAGCAATTTTTCAAGCATGCACATCCCTACATGAAGTATTTTTATAACAATTTGGTACATGCACATTATGATACTACATGTACCATATATTAGATTCAATATTATGTTACTCATTCGAGTTAAACATGTTTATATATCGCACATGTTATAGAAGTTTGAAGAAAATATTTGTTACCTAGTAAGTAAAGATGTTCAATTAGTTGTTTGATATCACATTATTCATTCGTTTCATATAGGTATGAGCATCACACGACTATGCGAGGTTCGAATACATGAAGCTAAGATTTTCTGACACTATGAAGTTGGAATTAACATTGTAGACGGATATCTTATGAGTCACAAGCAGGCTAATACTTGTAAGTTATTAAACATATGTGTAAGAAGTTTGTTTAAGTTGATTTCGGACCACAATGAAGTTAAGAAGGGAAACAAGGCACTCATGTTTCAAGCACTCGGTGTCTATTCATGGTCATCGGTGACCATAGATGTGGTCCGAAAAAATCATGAGTTCGGGATTATGATAAATAAGAATTTTGGAGAGGTGTACTAAACATTTCCACTTTATTTGCAATGATTTATTTATTATATTTACTATATTTTATGGAATCTTAACCCCTAAATGTCGTTCATTAGCCTTTCCAAACCTAATATACTATTTTGAGGTTCTCTCAAGTTCTAAGAATCAACTGCCTCGAAGTAACAAAGTTTCAAAGAAGTTAAAAGAAATTTTAACGATGTTTATGATTTATTGAGAATAGTAAAGAGTTAGACTTGTACTTGATATAATAATCCCATGATGTGATGATTGCAATAATTTGAGCTTCATATTTCAGAAACGAAGATTAGTAGAGCAAAGACAAAAACAATTAAACTAGTTCTCACAGGATCCATAAATTTAGCAACCTACAAGGGTTAAAACAGTAATTTAGCCTTGTCCATATCCGAACCACAAACCGAAAAAAAGGATTAATAACTAATGTTAGATTCAAAGAATAAACAAGATCTACAAAAGCTCCTAACAATCATCTAAAGTTAATCACTTTAATCCATAGACACTACCACTCAAACATTTGACACACTCGACACCCTCACAAGTAGATTCTTTGTGTTTGATGAATACTTTATCTTCTCAGCTTTCACAACAATGGATCTTACTCGTGCTTCATCACCCAAAAACTCTTCCTTCACTTTTAACTTGAAATTGTATTCACTAAACAAAACACCACGAACAGATTCCATAAATGCATCCTCATCTTCCTCTTCATGTTTCAATAGATACAAATCTTTAGCAGAAACACCCATTATCTCCTCACCAGTTTCCCCATACGCATTTACCCATGTCAAACCAGTATGATCATGTATATGTAGTTGCAGGTCATATCTGTAATCACATTCATCAACAATCTGATCACACTTCTTACATATCCATCTCCCATCTCCATTATTCACTACTCTTTCGCTGCATTTTCGATCACCTAACATGATAGGGCAGGTTGTGTAACAAAAGTTGTCTCTTTTTATATACCAGATTGTGGCATTGACTGTGATGTAATCAGTATTCCCAAAAGTCCCGAGCTTTTCATCTTTAATCTGGGATAACGTCTTCCATATGAATTGATTGTTACTAGGAAGTTCATGTGGAAATGGCTTTGGGTCGCCAATGATATCACACTCACCAAGAATCACATTGAGATCGATGATTTTGATAATACTGCAGAAATAAGTGAATGAAAAAACGTAACAGGGAATTTTTCATGTGAGCATACACACCGATAATAGAATAACAATATCTATTGGAGTATATCTGTATTATACCAGATCCATAGGAAGAAAGACGCGTATCATAAAATCTAACAGTAATGAAAAGAAAATGGAAAATTTTCTTCGCATTTCGCAGAAGAAAATATCGGAAATGGGAAAAGATAGAATACGTACATGCGTTCACGGATCGTGATACAAAGAAACTTAGTCAACTTAACAATGGAACCCTTCTGCAACTGCTGAGTGGTAACCAACTCACTGCGATTAGCAGAAAGCACTGCTTGTCGATGAAAATAGCCGTCGGATAACAACACCCTGTACCTATCCCGCATGTTTTCTTCACCACCCTCGGTCGGAGTTTGCGTCTGAAATGCCAGAATATCAATAACCTGAAGCACCGGTTTCAGATCCATCGTTTGCCATTCCCCAGTCGATAGCATCCATATTGCGCCCGCAGTAAGATTGACTGCCATAATCTTGATCGGAAGAAGCGTAGTTTCAGTGATTTAGGGTTTTGAAAACCCTAGAGAGTGAAGATAAATGCGAGGGAATATAGACGGGAAACTATTTAGGGAGCGGGAACATGTACTCGCTTATACTAAAATGTTACATTTAGCTAGCTTTATTACGAAGACTTGATAAAATACACCCTCTTACTTCTCTTCTTCTATAATTTACAAAATTATTATCTAATATCACAGAATTCACCCCATAACATGACTTTTATCTTGTATGCAAAATGAGCACACTTCAAAAATAAAAAAATATATATTAATGTATCATTAGACAAAACTGTAAAATTGGTCTCTATTGTATTTAAAAAACTTTGGATATGTTCCAAAAAGTTTATAACTTGTATCAGTAGCGAATCTAGACCAAAAAATCACGTGGTTTCCAAATTAAATGAAGTCAATAAAAAAAATTCAACAACACTTGTCTGGGATTGGATCAGGTCGTATACCTTAAAAAAAACTGGACGAATCAGTTCAACTTGTTAAGATCAATCAAACATCACCGATTAAAAATTTTAACAAAACGATTGAAATATTAATTAAAAAACAGCGCATTTTTAGTTGATTATTAATCCACTGATAAAGCGGTGAACGGAGAGTGAAATTTTTAGCCTGTGGACTTCTTTTTTATTACAACAATTTATTTATTTATTGATATTTTGACAGTTTCGATTAAGAGTAGTTAACTTTTTAGTATCAATCTCATAATTTAAAATAACAAATTGATCTTAATAACTTATTTTTTTTTTCTTCTTTTTAAATGATTTTTAAAGCATTTTTTATAAAACAAACTCATGGTGAGTCCTTTATTTTTTCTAAGGTAGTTCCTAATTTTTTTACAATATATATATTGTAAATGAAATTGAAATTTTAGGTAGGTCCTAAGACCTACCTTGGGCCGTACTAGATACGTCCCTGACTTGCATTGATGGTCCAAAATAAAAAAAATTCCTTTCGGTTTGGTGCTAAAAAAGTTGAAAGGAATATTTTGTCCTTATTATTTTTTTCTACTTTTTTATTTGTTTTAATATTTAAATACTTATAAAAAATAGAAAATAAAATAAAACCTCTCTCTCTCTCTCTCTCTCTCTCTCTCATGATAAGCCTTAAATAACGCCACCACTCACGGTGACCCTCATCCGCAATTTGCCGTCGATAGTGGAGATGGATCTATAGTGGATACTGTCGATATGGATCGAAGGTGCTAAAGGAAGACATGGAGGCTAATGATCAGCCCTGATCTATACGAAGCATTTCTAAGCTCTACCACCGTTAAAATCCTACATGTGCCTTATTTATTGATGATTCTTGCAACCACAACCAACGGAGTCCGATTTAGAGGATGCTTAACCCTAGCAAAGAGTTCATATCCCACTGATTCAAGTACTCTGACATCGATTGAAGCTCTGGTTATGGAGTTTTGATCGTCAAAGTTATACCTTGTTTTGAAAGCCATTTCCGAAAATTGTAAGTATCTATGCTTGCTTATTTGATGGTCCAAAATAAAAAAAATTCCTTTCGGTTTGGTGCTAAAAAAGTTGAAAGGAATATTTTGTCCTTATTATTTTTTTCTACTTTTTTATTTGTTTTAATATTTAAATACTTATAGAAAAATAGAAAATAAAATAAAACCTCTCTCTCTCTCTCTCATGATAAGCCTTAAATAACGCCACCACTCACGGTGACCCTCATCCGCAATTTGCCGTCGATAGTGGAGATGGATCTATAGTGGATACTGTCGATATGGATCGAAGGTGCTAAAGGAAGACATGGAGGCTAATGATCAGCCCTGATCTATACGAAGCATTTCTAAGCTCTACCACCGTTAAAATCCTACATGTGCCTTATTTATTGATGATTCTTGCAACCACAACCAACGGAGTCCGATTTAGAGGATGCTTAACCCTAGCAAAGAGTTCATATCCCACTGATTCAAGTACTCTGACATCGATTGAAGCTCTGGTTATGGAGTTTTGATCGTCAAAGTTATACCTTGTTTTGAAAGCCATTTCCGAAAATTGTAAGTATCTATGCTTGCTTATTTGATTTAGTCGATCCAACTCGGAACTGGTAAATGCTAGATAATTGGTCATTCGTTTATTTGATCTACACCTTTCTCCTTACTCTACCCTTTCATTCATGTTTTGGTTTCATTTTCTCCAGTTAGGATTTGTTCAGAAACTGATGATTCCTCCCTGGAAGCACCTATTACTATGCTATCTTGAGTTGAAAACATTTATAGTCTGTTGATGTTTTTGTTTTCTTCTGTGATTCCAGTGAATTGTGATCTTGATGCTCTTTCAACAAATCCAAGATTTGTAGGGAATGGAGCAGGTCTTCTGTGTTGCCAAACCCAGATTTATCTTTGTGTCGATGAATGGGGATGATGAGGAATAGGGTTAGGACCAAATCCGATTGGAGATAGATAGAGAGAGAGAGAGAGAGAGAGAGAGAGTATGTGTGTGAGTATTTTTATTTTTTTTTTCAATTAAAGTATAAAAATAAATATGAAAAAATACAAAAAAGAAATTAGAAGGGAGAAACGGTCCTTTCAAGTAGGGATGAGCATATAGACCTGGGAACCGGTCGGAACCGGTACCGGAACTGGCACCGGAACCGGAACCCGATAGAACCGGTCGGGCCGGGACCAGGACGTTATTTTTGTGGATTTTTAGAACCGAGAACCGGTAGGAACCGGAACCGATATAACCGGAACCGGTAGAACTTGCAAAAACCGGTAGAACCGGCCAAAACCGAAACTGTATGACGCTATTTTTCAAGGATCGGTTCCAACATTTGAAGACACAACAAGAACCGGTAGGAACAGGGAACCGGTAGAACCGCCGGGCCGGTCCGGTTCTTGATTTTGGCCGAAGCCGGTTCCCGGTTCCGGTCCGGTTCAGGCCGGTTCCGGCCGGTTCGGTCATTTTGCTCATCCCTACTTTCAAGTGCTTCATGGACCAAATTACCGAAAATTCATGATTTTAGGACCAAATTCATTGGAAATTTTTGATTTTGTACCATCCATACAAGTTAAAAATAATTTGGATACTATCCAAAGTTTTTTGAATACCACAAGAACCAATTTTATTGTTTTGTCTTATCATTATCTGTAGTTTTGTAGTATTCAAAATACTATGCTATTGATCATAATTTTATAATTTACGTATCAATTTAGTAATTTGCTAAGAAACCAAAGGCATTACAATTTTAATTTGATGATCTTGACTAATTGATTCGTGGGCTAATCATTTGTTGAATAAACCAAATATGTATTAGTATGCCGAAGTTTTCTTTTCAGTAAATATCATTTTACATTTTCATAGTATCATCTTATTGATTTATGATTACAAAGTGCATACAATATAACTGGTATTGGGTTTGTTTATTATATTGTTCTTCCAAAATCAAAATCAAACGGGTAACAGAAGATCATGTGGAATTCGGGGGAGGCTACCATATCGTATTTGAACCCGTTAACATCCATATCCGACATAAAAGTCCGCTAAAATATCTTGTAAAAATTTAATTTAATTTTGATGAAATTTAATTTAATTTTAATGAAATAGAACAAATTTGTGAAGTTGCTGCATATTCGTATTCTTTAAGCTGTAGACAAAGTTATGTCCATTGATTAAGATGTTTGGCTCATATAACCTTGTTATCATGAGGTTATATTTCTAACATTGTAGTTAATTTTTTTTGTTCAAAATTATACGACAATAACAAAAAGAGTCCTACAATTCCATAAGAGTGGGGTAGGGAGAGATTTGGAAATATATATATATATATATATATATATATATATATATATATATATATATATATATATATATATATATATATATATATATATATATATATATATATATATATATATATATATATATATATATATATATATATATAAAAGAAGAGGAGGATATTTTTAAAGTGACTAAACAATATATGTAACAAAGCTCTCAACTGTGAAGGACTATAACATGTACCTCGTATTTAGAGTCAAACATATAAATAACTTTTGTAACGTATTTAGTACACTCAAGATCCTTAAGATCTTGAATATATATGGTAACTGAGCTTGTAGATCCTATAACCAATAAAACGTAGATTAGGTAATTTGCCGTTTCAAAAAAAAAAAAAAAGCGTTGTTATTGTGGATATGTATACTATATAAGAAAAACTTCGATTTTTTTGGAAAAGAGGACCATAGACAAAAATAAACAAAAATAAATCCATCCAAGTGAATCCGTATTTCTTGTTGGGTCAGGTAGGCTTTTATGTACACATAAGTTTAAAATTAGTCAATATTTTTGGAGAATAGATTCGTCATTACGTTATGCATTTTAAAGATGCTCATAGCTACTATCTAGGACATGTGTCCTCCAAAATGTTTGTAATTTTAGCTTTAATAACTTGCACTTTTTTATAATTTATTTTATTTAAATGGTCCAATAAAAATTTATTTGATTAAAAAAAATACATTTTAACCGTATCACCACTTCATATTATCATATTATCGTTACGAGTCTATAAAAATATGATGTGAAAATATTTTAACACATGCTACACCAAAAAGTTATTAACTCAAAATCATGTTATTTTTGTAGGAAATAATCATCAGATCTCCAAAACATTTTAATTTTCATGTTATATATATATATATATATATATATATATATATATATATATATATATATATATATATATATATATTCTTTTCTTCTTGTGAGTGTTTATTTTTCTTCATTTTTATAATAGTTATAAAAGTAAGTTATGTAATATTGAAAATATAATATTCAAATTGAAAAAAAAAGACATTGCAAGACTAAAAAATACATATATTTTTGTTTCTAAATACATTATTCATTATCGTCGTGACTATCGTAGATATGATCCGTCAAGACTTCTCGAAGTTGTCTATGTTTTTGTGTATCTTGAATATCAATGACTTTATGTAA